TCATCTTTCATACTTCGGACATATTGTCAGGAAGGACCAGTCACTGGCGAAGGACATCATGGTTGGTAAAGTGGAAGGTTGGAGTAAAAGAGGAAGACCCCCAGAGAGATGGATTGGCATAGTGCCAGCATCAATGGGCTCAAATGTAGTAATAATTGTGAGGTTGGCCCAAGATTGGGCAGTGTTTCGTTGTCTTGTGCATAGGATCACTATGAGTCAGTGGTGACTCGATGGCACCTAAAACAACAACAAAAGGAGAGAGACATGAGCAGAGATGGAGAAAGTTACTACCACCAAGAAAGATGAGCTGAGAGTGGAGTGCTTCCTTTAGAAGTGGGGTCTCCGCACTGTGAATCTCCTAGATCCAGGAAAGGCCTGCTGTGTCTACATACGCTGAGAGGAGATAAGGACATTCCTCCAAAGCCAGTGCTCTGAATTTGGACTGCTAGCCTTCTAGGCTGTGAGAGAATACATTTCTGTTTGTGAAAGCCATCTGCTTCTGGTCTTTTGGTTATAGCAGCAATAGATAGCCAAGACAGTGTCTTTTCTACAAAGTTCTTGACAGGATAGAAGGATGCTAGTGCCTGGCATTTAGTAGGCACTTGGTCAATGTTACTGACCATTGTTAGGGGCACAAGCAGGCAGTTCATATGATAAACAGTGTTCTCTAATCCTGTAAAAATTACCTGTGGAGCTTGTTAGAAGTCATCCTCTACAGTCTAAGGAACACATGGAATCTGTATTGTAGTAAGCCCTGGGTGATTCCTATCAGGTACATTTGGAATGAACCCAGGGCCCTGCACTCCAAACTCTTATGGCCCCCTTGGTTCTCTAGATATCTGCCTCCACATTCAGTAAAGCTTTAGCCTTTGAAGAAGGACAGGACGAAAAAGTCAAACATCAATGTGATTTTTCAAGGAGAATGTCTCTTGAATTTTTACAGTAGATACATTCCTGAAAAGCTGTTTGCAAATAGAATTTGGTGTGTGTGTCTACGTGTATACATTTGAGAGAGAGAATACCCTAGTTTGTTATTCTAAATAATTTGAGAGCTGGTTATGAGAGCTGGTTATGTAAGTAAGATGTTGTTGTTGTTGTTATGTGCCGTGGAGTCGGTTCCGACTCATAGTGACCCTGTACAGGGTTTCCGAGCTGTAAATCTTTACGGGAGCAGAAAGCCTCATCTTTCTCCTATGGAACAGCTGGTAGTTTTGAACTGCTGACCTTGCAGTTCGCAGCCTGATTCGTAACCACTACGTTAGATGCAGGCCCCATTTTCCAAGAGCTTCAGTAAAGAAAATGGACGAACAGGCAGGCAATTACAACACCGCTGTTGATAACGTTAAGAGGAGGGAGCTGTGGGGGCAAGGGGTTGGAGGAGTGGACCCAACTCAGGTTGGAGCATTGGGAAAGGAGTCCCTAGACACTGGAATCCAGTCCAAATTCCTTCGTAAAGTGACTGTACCTTTCCTAATTTATGCTTGTGGAAAAATGAACTTTCACATTATGGTACATTTACACAACCATACCAAATTGAAACCAAATCCATTGCCCTCAGTCAAGCCAACTCTAAACAACCATATAGGATAGAGTAGAACTACCCCATCTATGAGTTGGAATTGACTTGACCACCAACAACCATCTTTAAGGAAGCCCACCACCACATCTTTTTTCCCATGGAGCAGCTGGAAGGTTTAAACCGCCCACTTTCTGGTTAGCAGCTGAGTCCTTTCTACTGTACCACTAGGGCTCCTCTACAGGAATATTTGAGTTCCTGCTTTGGGCAAGGTATTGCCTGGGGTGTCGTAGGACCCTGAAGGTGAGAAGGGCCCAACCCCTGTCCTCAGGGACTTTACACCACACCTACTTGGGATTTACTTCATTTGTCATAAAGTCATTAATCCCATGTAATCTGTGTATGACTACTTTCTTATTCAGGTTTTAACTCCCTTTATTGAAAAGACTGTTTATTCTGTTTCACCACCCTGCAGTGGGGAAATACGATTCCAATCAACACTTAGCGTGGGCAGGGATTTCATCCAGTAGAAAACCAGCCTGTATACAGGGGGTCCACAAGGTGGTCTGCAGACCCCAGTCATGAAGCTATGGAGGTCTGGTTAAGTCTCAAAGATCTATTGAATCAGAGAGGACTTGATCTGAGAACACCTGCAGCAAGTCAGCCTTTCCTTCTCTGTCGGCATCATACATAGCAAGACCTTCCAAACTACCTGTCTCTGCTCTGAGAGGAATCCAGGAAGATTGGGAACAGCAGAGATCTTTGTGAACTATGATAATTACATCACAGTGTTTAAACAGATTGTTGGAACAAAAGATAGCAAGGTGTGTAAGTCAATAGGTGATGTCTGCTTGCCTTTTTTGTTCATCTGTGGGAGCAATGGGGTGAGAGCCTACAAGCCTCTAAATAAAAGTGTGTTCTCATCTTGTAGATGGGGAACTCGAGGCCCCAAAATGTACCTGGAGGTAGCATTGGACACCTTTGCACCCTACTCTAGAATGGAGTCTCTGGGTGGCATAAACGTTAAGTGCTGGACAATTAGCTTAAAGGTTGGCAGTTACAACCCACCCAGCAGTCTTCAGGGAGAAAGGCCTGGTGATTTCTTTTGGAAAGGTCACAACCTTGAAAACTCTAAGGAGCAGAGTTCAATTCTGCAACATATGGAGTTGTCAGGGGTCAGAATTAACTCCACAACAACTCTTCTTTGGGCTTGTATGTAGAATTGTACACAGGACTGATACACTGGCTGTAACAATGGACTCAAGCAAATGTTGTGAGAACGGCACAGGACTGGACAGTGTTTCATTCTGTGTACAAGGAGGCTTTAAAAACTCATGAGAAAAAATGGGATTAAAAGAGAATGGGCTTTTCCCCCACGAACTTTTCAAAGCCCCCTTTGTACATACAGTGGCTATGAATCAGAACTGATTTGACAGCACTAGTACCATCACCATCCCGTAAAATCCAACTCAAGCTGGCCTTCTAAGTCTCTCCCAAATATAACTCCTGAGTTTCCTATACAGACGGTCAAGCCTGAGCCATCTACTTCCCAGGATGCCTGGAGAAACCTATCTTTTCTAGTCCAACTCCCATGTAGCGTCTCCCTGTGGTTGGAATGAATCTCTCCCTTCCCACCACTCCTTGGTTAGGCTCTCTCTCATTTTTGTGTCTTGGGCCACTCACGTAGCCTTGCCAGACCCTCAGTTTGTTCCTCTGTGCATGGGCACCGTAGGAACCATCCCAGCAATGCTTAGCCCCTTTCAGGCGGTGGATCCTTTTCATAATGTGACTCATGCTAATGTTTATTGGTGTGGCACTGTAGGGTAAACACTGGACATCTAATGGAAGTGTTAGTGGTTCAAATCCACCAGCTGCTCCTCAGAAACCCTATACAGGGCCATTACCAGGCAGAACCAGCTCGATGGTATTTAGCAACAACAAAGTGTTTAGAATGTTACATCCATGATCTCATTTAATCTTCAGCCAAGTCCCTCCAGACAGGTACTAGTATCTTCATTTCACAGACAAGCACAGGGAAGTTCAGAGAGCAAAATGCCCTCTGAGGCCACTCTGCTAGTCCTACCCACAGAGCCAGGGTTCCCATATGCCAGAGTTGACATCTCTGGACATCATGGTCGATTTATTGCCTTCGTGGCTGGGGTATGGGGTCAGGGAAGACACAACACACAGCCTATTGCCTACCATTTCGGGGTCACACATCGAGAACCCCTTGGCAGGATTGCTGTCTGGATGAGGGCCTGGCTGTGCCCTTGGCAGGGGTCTAGGTCACCATCCGATGACCCAAGCCAGGAACTGTGGCGTGGGGCCCAGGCTCGGGGCGTTCCGAGGGGTGCAGGCTCGGGGGCCCCAGCGCAGAGGAGCCTTGTCCCGGTTCCTCAGTCCCAGCAGTGGGGGAGGGCTGAGCGGCGGGCGCTTCCTCCCACCGCCCCCTGCCCCGCCCGCCG